ACAACACATATCATTGGGTTGTTTAGCGAACTCCAGTTCATTCGGAAGTAGAATTTGAAATTTAAGATAGCCTAATAATCTGTTATAATCGGAAAGTCAATAGAACTTAAGAGTGAACTCAACACAGAGTAATACCCTGAATAATAGTCGAGCACGTATCTTGTCAAGCCCATATTTCTCTTATTGATATTCAATCGTTTCTATTTAGCTACCTAATTTCCATTATTCACTCGTAATTGATAATCTTAGTTTTACCCGTAGTTCATTGATAACACAAAATCAAAGGTTATTTTCCTGAATAGTGTTAAGCTGAAGATCTATTAAGGCTTTATTTAAATGTAACGACCCGGCCGGTCGTTTTTGGAATTTACGCCTCGATCCCCCATTAAATGCTTTCCCTAAGTTCATTTCTGCTATTTTGGTTTGTCGGGACGTTCGGTGTTGGGATTCGGAGTGTTTTGGGACACTTAGTCCCTAAATGAGAGCTTAAGAGTTGGAAAATGATCTGTATTCGGAACAGTGTGAAGACAACCTCGGAATGGAAATCCGATTGTTCCGTTAGCTCCGTTAGGTGATTTCGGGGTTGGGAGCGTGTTCGGAATGTATTTTGGAGGCTCGTAGCTCATTTAGGCTTGAAATGCCGAAGTTTGAATTTTTGAAGTTTCCGGTCTGATAGTGAGTTTTTGATCCGAGGCTCGGATTGGAATTCCGGAAGTTGCAGTAGCTCCGTCATGTCATTTGGGATGTGAGTGCAAAATTTCAGGTCATTCGGACGTGTTTTGGTTAGGTTTTTGATCGAAAACGTATTTGGAAGAAACTTGTAGTTCTTAGGCTTGAATCTTTGATTTAATCGGGTTTCCGGTGTTGTTTTAGGTGTTTTAAGGATTGGTGCAAGTTTGAATAAGGTATTAGGTGGTATTGGTGCTTTTGATTGAGGTCCCGGGGACCTCGGGATGATTTCGGATGGTCGACGGGAAGAAATTCTAAAGTGTGCAGCAGCAGATTTTGAGTCTTCTGGTATTTCCGCTTCTGCGGCTTGGGAACCGCAGAAGCGGAGACGCAGAAGCGGCTTCTTCATCGCAGAAGCAATTCCAGGCATCTCCGCAGGAACCGCAAAAGCGGTCCCTTCCTCCGCATAAGCGGGACCGCAGAAGCGGGATTTGTACCGCAGAAGCGGAGTCTGGCCTTAAGTGAAAAACCGCAGAAACGGTTCGTGGTCCGCAGAAGCGGGACCGCAGAAGCGGAAATGACTGTTCAGAAATATCAATTTCGAAGGTTTAATTTCATAAGTTTGAAAATCAATTGGGAGCTCGGGAGAAGGCGATTTTGGGTGAATTTTGAAGAGAAAATCTCTGGGTAATGTTTTCTTGACCCTATTTAGTTGTATTCCATCAATATATAGTTAAATCCACCATTAGAATTCGAATTCAAGGTCAAAATTGGGGAAAATTTGAAGAAACTTCATAGACCTAATTATTGAGTTTTGAGTGGGCAATTGACCTCCGATTTGGGAGATTTTTATATGGTTAGACTCGTGAGAGTACGAGGGTTCTAAAAATGTGAACATTATTCGATTCCGAGACGTTGTCTTGAGGGGATTTTGGTCATTTTACCTATTTTTGCGTCCTAGCTTTAAATTTAATAGTGGAATCAGTTGTTTGCAATATTACTTACGATATGTAATTGAATTGAATAGATTTGGGCCATTTGGAGTCGGATACTCATGGCAAAAGTGTGATTTCGAGTTGATTTTTGGTGCCGATTCGAGGTAAGTGGCTTGTCTAACCTTGTGTGGGGGACCTTTCCCCTTAGGATATGATATGTGGTAATTGAGTGCCTTGTACGTGAGGTAACGAGCGCGTACTTGATCTAATTGTTGAAAAATCCGGTTTTTACTTAAGATATTGAGACTGAGTTTCCTTCATATTTGCCTTGTTTTACTTGCAGTTATAACCTGTGTTAGATTAGAAAAGCAGTTTTAGGTTATTTAACTTGCCTAATTGTTTAAGTTGCCTTGACTGTACTACGTGAAGCATGGTAGGCTAGTACTACCTGATGTTTGTCTTTTGTACTTCATTTCTGAATATCTTCTGGTTGTGGTTGCGCATTTACATTGGGGCTACGGATGTGGGATTCCGGTAGCTCCCCCCTTGTTTGTTTACTTTGGGACTATGGGTTCGATTCCCGGTAGATCCCCCTGCACTTTTACTTTGGGACTGCGGGTTGGATTCCCGATAGATCCCCCCCTGCACATTGATAGTTGGACTACAGGACGGTATCCCGGGAGATCCTTCGGATATACACATATGATGGACTACGGGACGGTATCCCGGGAGATCCACTGGACAGTTGAGAAAAGGACTACAGGACGGTATCCTGGGAGATCCTCATTGTTACCATTGGTATTGAGCTGTACTTACTCTGTGGTTGTTCCGTTTTTTGTGTATTTGCTATTGCCTTGCTTAACCTGTCTTATTTCACTGTTGCCTTTATTATTTCTGTCAGATTATCATACTGTTATTACTATATCTTGTCCCAGTATGGCCCTGACCTTCCTCGTCACTACCCAACCGAGGTTAGGCTTGGCACTTACTGAGTACCGCTGTGGTGTACTCATGCCCTTCCTGCGCATGTTTTTCATGTGCAGATCATCTAGGTACCTCTACTCAGGTGCACTATCAGTGAGGCAGGAGGACTACGGAGACTTCGAGGTAGATCTGCTGCGTCCGCAGACCGACGAGTCTCCCTCTTATTCTAACTTTAGTACTTAGTTTTTCCTTATTTAGGTTGTTAGAAAATTCTGGAGTTTGGAACCTTTACTATACAGTTCTGTAGCCTGTGTTGCCCGTGAGTTTCCGGGTTTTGGGAATTGTTTTAGACTTGTGATATTGAGTTGTACTTGCCAAGCGGCATTCAGTACAGTTTCCTTTAGATATTTGATTTGATTTTCTCTATTTTTCTGCAATTATTATATTTCCGCAAATGTTAGGCTTACCTGGTTATGGGGACCAGGTGCCGTCATGACATGTTCACGGTTGGTGAACTAGGGTCGTGACATTAAACCAATCCCTATGGAAAAAATTTAATAAATATACTATCTTTGACTACCGAGCCTAAGTTTTATATACCAGTTTTGCGCTCATCAAATTTATGCGCCATTGTCGGGGATTGGCGATTAATAGTGTTTAAAATAGTTTTCGGTGCTAATTTAGGAACAATTTTTATTTAATTTTCTTTTTACGTTCTTCTCATCTGTTTGCAGGCAACATGTTAAGTTTAGTGGTGTATGACTCGATCCTCCTCCAAGAATTGGTGCCATACAATCCGAATTTTGACAATCACGTGCGGCAGTTGAGAAGGGAGAAAGAATCTAGTGGATCCTTTTTGGGTCAGACTTCAACTCAAAATACAATGGTTATCAACGAAAAGAAATTGGACCTAGCTGCGAGAGAGGCAGTACAACAACAGGCTGCACGAGTTGCAGCTGAAGCAACCCTTAGAGCTGCTGAGGAAACGGTTGAAGAGGGTCGAAGATTCAATCTTAACCGAACCCTGGTTGAAGATGAGGGTCTACAACCAGCGACAATCTAGTGAAAGGCCCCCAACCATTGATGCTAACAATTTTGAACTCAAACAAGAAGTCATCCAGACCATTCAGAACAACTGCATTTTCGGAGGCAACCCCAATGAAGATCCCAAAAACCATCTGATGGACTTCGATGAAATCATGAATACATTCCGCTATAATGGAGCATCACATGATTCCATCTATCTCTTAGCATTCCCTTTCTCACTTAAGGATGATGGAAAGCAGTGGCTAAGGAGTTTACCCACAGGGTCTATCCGTACATGGGAGGAGATGACTACCAAGTTCCTAGAATAATATTTCTCCACTGCTAAGACTAGAAGAACGAGGAAGGGGATTCCTAATTTCAGCCAAGGAGAAGGGGAGACAGTGTTCGAGTCATAGGAAATGTTTAAGGAGTTGTTGCGGAGGTGCCTTCATAACGGAATAGAGCAATGGATGCAACTCCAAGATTTTTGGGACGGGCTAAATCCTTCATCAATGAGATTATTGAACAGTGCAATTGTAGTTCCTCTTATGAAGAAAACTCCAGAAGAGATTGTCACACTCTTAAATAAACTATTTGAAGACGCAGAACAATGGTCCACTGATCAAGGTGATCGAAAAAGGTCAGCGGGGGTGCACCAAGTAGAATGGTCTGTAGCAATGTAGGCCCAAATTGCAGCAATTACTAAGGTTATCAAGCAATTGACAATAGCCTAGGTGCAAAATCAACCACAGTTGGGATGTGACATTTGTGAAATGGGACACCAGACTCATGAGTGTCAAACCTCTACTATAGAGGAAGAAGTGAAGGAATTGGGAAATTTCAGCAGAGGCAACTACCAAGGAGGCAACAATTTCAACTCTATGGGACAGAGACATCTAGGGTTCTCATGGAGTTCTTCAAGTGGTAGCTTGAACTCATGGCAGTAGCAAAATCCCATAGCACCTGTACAAGGACAACCTGGCTTCCAAAATCAACAAAGGCAATAGTACCAGCCTCCACTGCCTAACAACATAAGTTTAGATGATCTAACAAAGGTATTCATTCATAAAGCAGATAAGAAACTTGAGAAATAAGGGAAGACCCATCAGAGAACAAGGAATGGCCATTCGGAATCTAGAAACACAAATGGGACAAATTGCATCCTTATTATCAGCAAGGGCTCCTGGGACTCTGCCTTGTGACATTGAGAAGAACCCAAAAGAGACGATCAAGGCCGTGTCTCTCAGGAGAGGAAAGGCATTAGCAGAGCCTATTGCAAAACCAAGGGTTGAAAAGGTGATCAAATCAACCAAAACAACAGAAGAGCAGAAAATTGGTGAGTCTTTGGTTACGAAGAATATCATCGAGAAGGAGGATGATAATTAGAAGTCAAACAGTGATGTTGAAGAAAGCAAGCACATGCCACTGTTACCCTTTCCTCAGAAGATGAAGCGAGAGAAATTAGATAGATGCTTTGGAAAATTCTTAGAGATGCTGAAACAGTTGTATGTGAACATCCCGTTCACCGAGGTGCTCACCCAGATGCCGGCCTATGCCAAATTTCTAAAGGAAATCCTATCAAGTAAAAGGAAGCTGGAGGAAACGATAGTGGTCAAACTCAATGCACATTGTAGTGCCATCCTACAGAATAAAATTCCTCAAAAGTGTGGGGATCCTGGAAGCTTCACTATACCCTGCTCGTTAGGGAGTGAAATTTTTGACAAAGCTTTGTGCGACTCATGTGCATTCATTAGCTTGATGCCATTGTCGATTTTCAAGAAATTTGAAGGAGAACTAGGAGTGATAAAATATGTGCCGGTATCATTACAACTGGATGATTACACCACTATCATACCAGAGGCCATAATTGAGGGTATTGTGGTGAGGGTGGACAAATTTGTCTTCCCAATAGACTTCATTATAGTAGACAAAAAAGTGAATAAAGAGGTATCTCTAATTTTGGGGAGACCATTCCTTTTCACTAGTCGGTCAATTCTTGACATATATGAGGGTTAGCTCATGCTACTAGTGGGAAATGAAAAAAATGGTGTTTCAAATGAATAGAATGATGAAATACCCGTTTGATGAGGCATCTGCCTACGAATGTTTCAAACTGGAAGTGGTAGGAGAGTTAGATGAACAACACAGCTGGACAAGATGGTAGGTGATTCATTAGAAAGATGCATTACTCAATCGAGTATAGCAGAGGATGAAGACCCTGAAATCAAGAAAGAAGCTCAGGCATTGGAAGATGAAAACCAAGTTGTAGATGAAGAGGAATTTGAGAAAGAAAGGATCAAGCCAAAGCTGGAATTGAAAGTACTCCCAACACATTTAAAATATGCTTTTTTGGAGACTAACAATTTTCCTATAATTTTTTCTGCTGATTTGATAGGTGAACAGGAACACTTGCTAGTGGAATTATTGCGGAAGCATAGAAATGCATCCGGTTAGAGCATCGCCGATATTTAGGTAATTAGCCCCGCAATCTACATGCACAAGATCTTGTTGGAAGAAGGTAGCAAACTGGTGGTTCAGTCCCAACACAAATTGAATAAAAAGCTAAAGGAAGCGGTACAGAAAGAGATAGTCAAACTGCTGGATGCTGGTATAAAATTTTCCATCTCCGACAGACAATGGATCAGCCCCGTACAGGTTGTGTTAAAAAAGGGAGCATGACGGTGGTGAAGTATGAGGACAATGTACTAATCCCTACCAGAACTGTCATTGGTTGGAGGTTGTGTATAGATTACCGAAGGCTGAATGACTCAACATGGAAGGATCACTTTCCTCTGCCTTTCATTGATCAAATGCTGGAGAAAGTGGCAGGGCACGGATGCTATTGCATTTTAGATGGTTATTCAAGGTACAATCAAATACCCATTACTCCTGAAGATGTTGGGAAAACCACATTTACCTGCCCTTCAGGAATCTTTGCATACCGAAGAATGCCTTTTGGACTTTGCAATGTGCCAGCTACTTTTCAGAGGTGCATGATGTCATTTTTATCAGATTTGAATGGGAAGTGTCTGGAGGTTTTCATGGATTATTTTACCCTATTTGGGGATGACTTTAAGGATTTCTTGAGGAATCTGGAACTTGTACTGAAACTATGTGATGACACTCACCTAGTACTCAACTGGGAAAAGTGTCACTTCATGGTGAATGAGGGGATAGTTTTAGGCCACAAAGTCACACCTAAATGTCACAGCTGAAGACATCGAGGTCGATCAGGCTAAGGTAGATGTGATCGCTAAGCTCCCACCACCAAATTTAGTGAAGAGCATTAGAAGCATTCTGGGGCATGATGAATTTATAGACGGTTTATCAAGAATTTATCTAGCATTACCAAGCCCTTAACAGTATTACTTGCCAAGGATGTGAAGTTCGTGTTTGATATAGGGTGCCTCAGAGTATTCGAGATGATCAAGGAAAATCTAGCGAGTGCCTGTATAATCGTAACTCCCGACTAGAGCGAACCCTTTGAGATCATGTGCGACGCTAGTGATGTGGAAGTGGGAGCAGTGTTGGGGCAGAGAAGAGATAATATATTCAGACCCATCTACTATGCAAGCTGGACTTTGAATGATGCCATGTGAACTATGCTACCACGAAGAAGGAGTTCTTTACAGCGGTCTTTGCTTTCGACAAGTTCTGATCTTATCTAGTAGGGAGCAAGGTGATAGTGCATACTGATCACTCCGCACTGAAATATTTGCTGAGCAAGAAACAGTCAAAACTGTGTCTGGTGCGGTGGGTATTGTTGCTGCAAGAGTTCGATCTTGAAATAAAATATAGGAAGGGCATAGAAAACCAAGTGGATGACCGCATGTTGCAGTTGGAGAAACCACATGTTGAAACTGTAGACATTAGGAAAGAGTTCCCGGATGAGCATATTTTTTCCATTGCAATGGTCTCTGATAGAACACCATGGTATGCTGACCTAGCCAACTTTTTGGCTAGTAGGTGGCTACCACATGACTCGTCCTGTGACCAGAAGGGGAAGCTGCGAAGCGAGGTAAAAAGCTACTTCTATAATGACCCATTTTTGTTTAAATTGTATGAAGTTGGCATGATTCGGAGATGTGTATCGGAAGGGGAAATGGGAAGCATACTATCCCACTATCAAGATGGAGCAGCTAAAGGACACTATGGAGGAACTAGGAAAGCAACAAAGTTCATGGAAGCTGGCTAATACTGGTCGTCCTTGTACAAGGATGCAAAATCCTACCATGTGACAAGTGCTAACGGACATGTAACATTAGTAAGAGGGACAAAATGCCCCTGAATTCCATTCTAGTATGTGAAGTCTTCGATGTCTGGGGCATCGACTTTATGGGTCCCTTCCCATTGTCCCATTCCTATGAGTATATCCTAGTAGCAGTTGACTACATCTCCAAACAGGTCGAGGCAATCCCTACTAGGAAAAATGGTGCTTAGATAGTATGTGAATTCCTTTGGAATAATATTTTCACCCACTTTGGAACTCCTCGAGTCATCATCAGTGACAATGGGTCACATTCTGTCAATAAGCAGTTTGCCACACTGCTGTCTAAATATAGGGTGACTTATAAAATATGAACTTTATATCATGCTCAAACTAATGGGCAAGTAGAAGTATCTAACCGTGAACTCAAAAATATTCTAGAAAAGACGGTTAGTGCTTCCAGAAAAGATTGGTCATTAAAGTTGGATTAAGCTCTACGGGCGTATAGAACAACGTTCAAAACAACCATAGGGACTTCACCCTTCAAGCTGGTACATGGAAAGTCATGTCACTTACCTGTGGAGATAGAGTATAAGGCTTATTGGGAAATTAAATTTCTTAATCTTTATCTTAGTCTCCCAAGTGAGCACATAATGTCACAGATGAAAGAGCTGGAGGAATTCAGATTGGACATGTATGAGAATGCGCTAATTTTCAAGGAAAAGACAAAGAAGTAGCATGACCGTCTGATTAAACCAAAAGAATTCATGAAGGGGAAAAGGTCTTGCTATACGTAGTAAACTCAGATTGTTCCCCAAAAAATTTAAGTCGAGATGGACGAGACCGTATTTGGTGAAACATGTATCACCATATGGGGTTATTGAGGTCCAAAACATGGAAAGAACGGAGAGTTTCAAGGTGAATGGGTACAAGTTAAAACCATATCTTGTTGGAGGATTTGATATGCAATCCTCGAGCATAATAATCCGTTGAGAATGCCCGATCGAGTCAAGATGACGACTATAACTCAGAACTACCTCTAAGCCTTCTACAAGTTTGATTTTTTTTTTTTTGTATTTTAGCCTAGGTAAAATTTAGTGTATAGTGTGATTTGGTGGTTCTAGGAATGTATAGGTTGTGGAATGGTGGAATTGAGGTCTTCAAGGGGCACTTTGTGCATGTACAGGTGCGCGGGGGTTCACCGTGCATTTGATCGCGCATAAATTTGCGTCAGCAAGTATGAGTATGCGCGGCCGCGCACGAGGGGTGTTGAACGTGCATATGGCCGCGCATATGTCATAGAAGTTCTGCCAGATGTGCGCGGCCACGCACGTGTTGACCCGACCATGCACCCGACCACGCACCAGGTAAGTTTTCTAGTCTTTTTTTTAACTGGATTTTTGACCCACCCTGTTATTTCTCTTATCTTCTTTTCCCTTTTTCTCTCTTCTCTTACAAACCCCAGCCCTAACCCACTTAACCCCCATCTCTTCTCTCTTTCTCTCAAGCCTAAACCATCCGTCCATATCTCTCACTCACTCTCTCGTTCCCCCTTCTCTAATCTAACTACCTAGTCTGATTTCCTCACTTGAATTATGAGGTATGTATCTTATTCCATCTTTTTCAATATTATTTTTTGAGTTTCAAGGACTGGTTGTCACTACAAATAATGAAATTTTAGGCTATTATGTATATGATTTGGTGGTGTATGTAGTCCACCTAGGGCCAATTTTATGTTTGTATGGAATATGAGCAGTTTTGCATGTAAGGTATTTGTTTAAATGCCACAATGTGGATTGAGAAGGTCTTGTGGTGTGTTTTTGAAATTATGGCCACCTAATGATAATCCATGTTAATTTACTTGGGTAAAATGGTAATAGGAAAATATTCTAATGTTGGTGGGATGGATCCTCAACATGGCAAGGAGTAGTGTATTTTTTTTTACCACTATACGGGTGAAGTCTGAGTAACCCTTTTGGTCCGAAGAGCTGTATAATATCTGATAATTGTTGGGTTTTTGCAGGTGCAGATGGACACTTCAAAAAAAAACCTGACCGCGCCCACCGGTAGGCAAGTGGGTACTTCCAAATCCAAAGATGCGGGCACTTCGACGTCACGTGTTTCCACATCCTCTCGCCTATATGATCAAAACAAGTTTGTCTCCTGGGGGCCCAAGACGAGTTTTATAGCAATGCGGACAAAAAGTTAGTACCTAAAAGGGGAATAGACATCAGGTCTCTCCTCAGTGAGTGTTCCAAGGTTCATGATGAATTAGTCCGTCGAGGATTGGGAGTATTCTTAGAAGAACCCGGCGAGGCCAATTTGACTGATGCTAGGGAATTCTATGCGAATTGCCTGGAACATGAGGACAACGTGTGTACAGTCAGAAAAAAAAAGGTGGATTTCTCCAAAGAAGCTATCCAAAGGGCCTACCACTTACCAGAGTATGTTGACCAAATTGTTGAAACCAATCACTTTGTGGAGCACAACAAGAAATCGTACCCGTGGGCTATGTTCTTTTAGACCATCTCTGTGCCCGGGGAGGAGGTGGTGTGGTTAATTAGGGACCACAAATTTTACTCTACTGCACTAACTTTTGAAGAGAAGTGTTGGTTATACATCATTAATAATAATTGATGCTTTCTAGCAATACTACCGAGGTGAATGGTCCTTGGGCTGCTCGGATTTGGTGCTTCGTAAATGAACACGACTTTGATGTGGCTAAGGTCATTCAAGAGGAGATGACAATTTGATGCCTGGTGCAGAGGCATGGGTTCATTTTCCTCTCGTTAGACACTCGGTTGCACTGTGAGGCACAGGTGCAGAAAACAAGGCTACGGATGGAAACGTAAAGAGAGAGAAGAAATTTCGGGCTGATAAAGTTGTCATTGGGAAGAAACCTGTTGTGGCTACTGAAGTTGAGAGTGAGGAGTCAGATGCACCCGTCGAGGAAAGTGAGCTGCACGGGGAGGATGTTGGTGCTAGTACCCCGCGTGAGCAGGCTGACGAAGAACCTTCAAGCAGTGTGTGGGAAACAAGAATGGTTGCTTTGGAATAGGAGATGGCGGGGTTGCACACTTCTATTGACGATTTGGGCACTCGAGTGGAGTCACTTGCTGGGCAAAATGCCAAGTCCGAGCGGAAGATCATGGCATGGTTGCGCGACTCGGCCGCTCTTGTCTCCTAGACCCCGACACTGTCTCTGACGCTTTGACCTATTCAAGGGAGTTCCCTTCACCTTTGCATT